GTGTATACATCAGAAGAGGAGACATTATGGCGTCTCCCACTGTCATCAAACCTATCACTGCTCGCTGCTCCAATAGGCCCGTCGGGTTGGACATAGTTTGATGTATAGGGAGCCCCGTCGTTAAAGGAAGTGGTCCCACTGTAGCTTCTTGTTCTTTTGTCCGTTGTTGTAAGAGATGAAGAGGAGGCGCTTTCGTTATTCAGTAAAGGCTCCTGTCCTTCCCCTGAGTCACAGCAACAAGATTTCTTTGTTTTACTGATTGCACTCATCATACTAGCAGTGATGCTAGACCCAGCATTCATATCTTTAGACTCACAGCAACCCATTTTCTTTCTTGTAAAATGGCTAGCCAGTAGCCACTCCTCCTATGGGAGGAGCTCATTATGCTAGTCCTATAATTATTGTTAATCATTATTATTGTCATCAAAATTATATAAAAAATAGAAAATAAGCAAGTATAATTAGATACAATTAATACTTTCAATTGTCTCAGACACTTGAAAGCATACGTTTGTGTATATTTAGCATTAACAGCAGCTTACATTGAAATCAACAAAAAACAAACAACAACCAATTATTATTATTACTTATTTTGAAACGGATTTACAATGAGAGCGAGAGAGAGCATTATACATGGTTTGTTCTAATGTCGTGTGAGGGTATTGGCAGTAGTCATTATTTACATCAATTAGCTTGTGTGACACGACCATCAGGAAAGTAAGTAGAAACGGTCGGATGATGACGATTAGACAAAGTGTAAGAGGACGATGCTTGCAACACTGCTTCCCTCAGATGATGCTTCGTATTCTGGTACATGTCTTGTCGTATCGTCCAGTACGACGGACAACTGGTCCCGTAGGGTTTCAGCTGGCCCCGATTGTTGTCTTTGAAATAGCAGAGGACGTGGTAGAAATCGTATAAAAAGCTTCGTTCCAAGTAATATCGTATGAGCACGGAGTCTTTCTTGAGATCAGTCACAACAAAGACATAGAGTTTCACGAGATCCTCTTTCTTTCCGAGGCTGTTGCCATAAAAGACGATCGGCTCAAAGAATTGTATGCAGTCTATTCTAAACTGATGCTCTTCGCTCCCCTCGCCCATAGTGACACTGATTCTCTCCCTCATGAATGCATTCCTTGTTGCTAGGGGAAGGAGACGAGGACCAAGGTGTGTCCTTAGCTTAAGGAGCTCTTCAACTAGCAGGTCGCATTCTCGTTTGTCACGCTGGGAACCCTCATTAGCAAGAAAAGTGAAGTGAGACTCGCATTTTGTGAAAAGCTGGTTCATTTTGAAGGCAAATTCGGGATTTGGGTCTGTGTATGACTCGACCCACGAGTAGGCATCTTGGAGTGCTTTTCTAATCATTTCACCATCTCTACTGAGGGCCAGAGTGTTTCCTGGAGGCGATAACGGCCTCTCCTTTTCTGTAGGGCTAGGTATATCCTCATAGGTGACAAGCGGTGGGGGCCTGGAGCCAGGACTGGGGAGGTTAATGACAGTGTTTGGAACACGGTTTCTGTTCACGACACGAGTCACTTGGTCGTTGTCTGACCTATCCTCGTGGTAGCTACCTCCATTTATCAAAAGAGGCTCGCGGACCTCGTTGGATTCAGACTCGTCTTTAGCCGAGGACGATATGCAGCCCATGAAGGAAGAAAAGGCTGACTGGCCTAATGTCAAGCAAGAAGATAAGAGATAGGCGTGGCTAACATGATGTCACGCCTAGTTTTCCCGAAAAATTTTTTATGGCCTCCACAAATAAGTACATCACTGTACTGCCAAGAGTAAATAATTAATTTAATTATACCTAAAGAGTGCATAATACTTTAATCAATAATACATAATACGGTATTTGGGAAAAAACCACGGGCCTAGTACAGGGATTTTTGGGAAATTGGCCAATTTTTAAAAATGGTCATAACCAGAAAAATTTAAGTCAGAATCCACTCAAAATTTCTACACAGAATAAGTACATCATTATGTATTAAAAATGTAATAAAAATTGGAGGTAACTAGAATGTGACTTTGGAGCTATTTTTGGAAATTTTTTAAAATTGGCCCATTAAAATTAATGGCTATAACTCAAATTTGAATTTGAAATTGGTTCAAACTTTCTACACAGCATAAAAACATGTATGCATATCAGGAAAAATTATAAAAAATGAAAATTCTCTCCTTTTAATTTTTTGGCAAAATTTGGCCCAATTTTGAAGGATCTTTAAAAAATTCATAAGAATCTAATTTAAATTTGGAATTAGCTACACAGCATATTGTATAAGTTAGTATATATATTCCGGAATGCAATCAATGCCTGGTAGGTAGTATACTTACATGTAAGGAAGCTTGTGGTTTAACTATCATCAACATTCAACAATTCAGCTCCTATTCACATTCTCTGTACATAATGTCACATTCATTTTTGGAAGGATGAAGATCAAATTTTAAAGTATCATTCCAATATATACCATGCATAAGCTATCATGCTATGTTGTTGAAGCAATGTAAAGGTGTGGCTGCAATGAAGGTGTGGGTTAATCCACCATAAATGATAATACTACATCAATCATTAATAGCTCAATCAAATAATGATAATAACTAGATGAATGTAAAACATTGAAGGGGCGAGCCTAAGCAAGCAAAGCAATGTACATAAAATAGATCTTGACAGACTAACAATGCTCATGCATGATGATGATTGTGCAACTGAGCAGGCTCAGAACTTAAATGGATGTAGTTCTTGATAATCTACCATTATGATCTCAACAACAATTAAAGTTACCTTGCTTATAGCATTTAGCAAGCATTAAAGATAGCTGCAAGCAGTGATTGCACAAATGATATAGCTAGATAGGCAACCATAGCAGTTTCTTGGCTCCAAGTTACCTAGTTAGGGTAGGTATTAATTGCGCTCTTAAATTTTAGCGTTTTTAAGGAGACCCTGATTTAGCGAAATGTAATATTAGCGAAAATAATAAAATCAATGGTAAAACCCCCATTCAATAGCATAACACTTCAATTTATATATTTAAGAGCAGAACACTTAATAAGATCGCCCTATCTACTGTTATCTTGTTACAGATCCTTGTGTACTTGTTTACACAAGTACATAATATCAAGAGTGGATCCACTCTTGATAATATATACATACATACACACATACATACATATATGTGACCATAATTGACAAAAGGTACCTTATGGCGGGTAGTGAAATTTGTCTTTCTAGCCTAAGAAATTCCTTTTTCTGAGCCTCATTTGTCATAAAATTACTCCACAGGATGCAAAAAGTTACCATGAAACTTTTAGAAACAATGATTGTCTAACAAAGCACTCACAGTTTGATATTTTCCATTATAATGATCAATTTTAAAATCCGCCATAAGGGCCCTTTTGTCAATTATGGTCACATATTATGCATACACACTCGTCTCGTTTATGTGGGGCTCGTTCAGGCTCGCCCCAAATATGGCATACATTAATTTTTACTAATTGTTGTTCTATTGTTTACTTCTAGACTCCTGATGTTGTAGTATCAGCAGTAGATGTTGATTCCCTCCCTCCTCCTCAATCCTCTTCCTCTGTCTCTTGCTGCCCCTGCTCCTACTGATTTATTCTCTGCACAACTTTGACATAAACACTGAATTATCAAACAATACAACAGGTACTCCATTAGACATGCAGCGTTTATTTTCATAATTTTGTGTCAATTGCAATTTCTCAGGGCCTAGCTGTCGTTAAGGCATCATCAAAAACTATTAGTACTGTCATAAAAACTGATGGTCCAAAGCGTTCCCTAAACCTATCAGATTATAAGAAAAGAAGAGGTCTAATATAGTGTATATTATTGTTATAGTTTTAGTTTTGACTTTCCGCATGATATTATTTTCTATCAAAATTGTGAACTTATAAAAATTAATGGTATGCCAAACTTAAGTTAATGTAATTGCCACAGTAACTACATGTCCACACCCTTTATAAATAATTATGGTTCCTGTCCTGTTTTACAAAATTTTAATTCATAAAATGCCATTAGTAAAATTTCCTTACAAAATCTGACCTCAAGTCAAATAAAAAAAATGATCTTTCTTAGTCTGTATTATGACATTAATAGGCTGTACAGCTAGGAGAGGGAAAAGAATACAAAGGAAGTAACTATGATAATAAAATTACCTCAATCTCTTGCCTTCTTCATAATACACTCAAGACATATGAACTCTTGTAAAAACTTTTTGATAGCAGATCAAAAGATACCTTTACATATTAAAATTGAGGCTAGGATTTAAAAATAAAAAGAAATTTTTGCTGTATATGATCTACTTTTTTCAGAAGAAAATTTTCTGGAGGGCCAAGGTCAATATCACATCATACAAAAATATGGGGGAGGGCATGGTCCTGGCCCCCCTCTTTCCTACGTATAGTGTCACGTGAATGTAACGTACGTAATACGTTCATCTCAAAGAAGAGACAGATAAAATAAACAAGTTGAAAGATAACATTTCATTGATGACTTTTGTAAGTGAATATCATCACTATTGTGTTACGTCATATTATATATATATTTACAGAGGTAAACTGGTCAGGCCTTATCAAATTTGACGGGGCAGAGCCCCTCAGATATGCCATGTACTGGGTGTACATTGTAATAGATATAAGCCATTCATTACAGGCATATGATTAAAGCTAATTAGTTCAAAACCCAACCCACATAACTTAAATGTTACATCGACATACTTAATAATAACAACTCAAAAAGAAGACCTAGCTGCCTGTTCTAGTCATTCTTTGCCTTCAACAAGGTAATGATATAATTAATTGAATTTGGATCAAGTTAAAATACGTAGCGGCTATACTAAAAAGCACTGCCAGTAAAGTACAATTTTGTGTTGAATATGTATATATGCGTGTGTGTGTGTATGTGTGTATCTATAGATGAGCACGTCTAGAAAAGACATATCACATGTAATATGATATGTTCCAGGGGCGTCGCTGGCCTTGAAACATTGGTAGGGCACTAGGTTTATAAAGAGGAAGAAACCTTTTCGCGCGCGAAAAATTTTGCCGAATCTAATTAATATTCATGATGGGTGTGGTCAGTTAACTGATTTGTTGATTAACTTTTGACGCCCAAAATTCATAATGGCGTTCATTTCCAGCAATAAATTGCTTACTACCGAGTGTATTTCTACATTATGAGTCAGCTGTTGGTGTGTGTGAAGAAGTAAGCAGTGATTGAGTCTTTCCTGGATAGTTATTAAATGAATTAATGACTAATTTTAATAAAAATGGCTACTGATCTTCAAAATATTGGTGGGGCAACTGCCCTTAGGCAGCGACGCCTCTGTGTTCTAGAAACCCATTGACTATTCCATTATTACATATGTGACACACATAATATTCTAAAAAAATTCCTATACTAAAAGTGTTACAGAAAATAATCATGCACTGCATGCGACAAAAGTTTTTCAAAATATACAAATGTAGCCTGACCTATTTTTTAGATAGGATTGAATGCATTAATTCCAAACCACTCCCATAAAAAAGATCAGCACAAAATTACTATATCGCGTGACCTAATTAAATCAATGTGTGACCCACATCCACAGGTGTGACCAATTGGCCATAAAAAGAAAGAGTTGCTTGATCATCCTTCTTAGGTAAAGAAAATTTTTAAAATGTAGCCATATAGTAGGTGAAAGTGATATCTGTAACATGAACAGCTTTACTGTTCCAATTAATAATTACTAGCTACTGAAACTTTAAAGCAAGAATCGTGTATATATATTCTATTCTACTATCATTATATATGTATTTCTACATTTAAAAACACTAATAATTTTAGGATATGGAGCACCCTATAAGAATTACGAGAATTAATGGTGAGCTTATTGTGGAGCTTGCTCCAAGTCATCCAAGCATTTTGCTTGATTATGGCATGACAGAGCAATATTTGATGAATACCATTCAAGAAGATGGACCATTCAAAGTTAATATAATATTGGATGAGGAAGATGTGCCCTTGGCGTTATACTACTTGGATCAAGCTGGTTATGCACCAGAAGGCCAGTATCTTGTCTATGAACACACCAATTATAGTCAGTACACAATGTAATTGTTTGTGTGTGCATGATTATGGCATGACTTTTAAGTAGACAAATATTTGCGATTTGTTAATGGTATTGATTTAACGTGTACTAATTTTTGCAATTTTCCTCTTTTTTTCAATTAATAATTATTAGTAAACCTAAATTATTAATAAATTCGAGTACTAATTTTTGTGATTTTAAAGCCACTCGCAAAAACGCAAAAAATTAGTACTCACAAATAACAGTGGCTTTAAGGTAATTAAAGAGGAACATGAATTTATGAATCAACAACATTAGCATCAAAATGATGCCTCAGAGACACCTCTAAAAGTAAAGCCTTAGAGTATATATTAGCTGGTTTTATAATTGGCTTTAAGTCACCAAATTAGCGATCTTGAATAATGGCTAAATTAAGCCCATGAAAATTTTAATTTTATCAGCTATCAAAATTAATATTAATGATGTGGAAGCAGTAAGTAAAATGGCAGCTCCCAAATGGGAGCTTTTTAGCAGAAAAAATGTACATATACGGTCTCCAGAAGCAATAGAAAATTATACTGTTATAAATCTTAGTGAGAAGAAATGACATTCTTCATTTACTGCTTCCATACCTATTTTGATAACTGATGAAATTTAAAAAAATCATTATGCATGCAAGGTGGTAAAAACAAGGCTTAAGACATCATTTCTACAGAACTTTGTGTTAGATTAAATAGTACCATTAATATCACTAAAATAAATACAAGCAAACAATTGTCTCCTCTCTTTAAAACTATCTGACTAAAAAGTTACCAGCAATACTATATCTTTCATGTCATTTTACATGTGATTTCAGGCATTATCATTGATGTATTCAATTATTCATATTATTATGATTATACTTAATTCCTTTAGGCACCAGTTCCCGCCGTTCCCGTTCCCGCCGTTCCCGCTCTCGTTTCCGGTCAAGGAGGCAGAGAGATGAACCTTATTCCCGTTTAAAACCCCGTACCCATCCCAGGGGATGGGGCCGCCCAGGGTTTTCCAGAAAGTAAACTGACTAAAACTAATTTTAAAAGTAATAGCTAAAATTAATTAATTAATAAATCTTGTTGTTTAATAATAATACTTAACCAATGCCACATGAACATAGGCTATACCTGAAGGTGTTCCACCTATCTCTTTTGGTATTAAACAGAAGTCAGGTCTTGATTTGTGATACAATGACACGCCTATGCCATCCAGTGCTCTATTGTTGCCCATTACTTTGTACTTGTTGAAAATTCCAGAAGATTTCAGCCACTTTATTAACATATCTTTACAATTAGCTTTAACTGGCTTAATTTCAATATTCGACTTCAAACTTTTTACGAAACCATCCAAATCTGATGAAGAGTCATAAATATCAAGTACCATTTCTTTAGGCAACAAACCAGTGCTAATATACAATCTTGGTAGATCCAATGGCTTCATTTGACAAATTCTGTCAATATCATCAACAAATTTAGGAACCAGCTGTTTACCAAATGAAAATTGGTTTAACGTTGCCGAAGAGGCTCGAAGAGTTTTCAAAAATGCATATATAAATTTTTGAGTTCCCCATCTTACATAGGACCCATCCAATGAGCATTTACGGTCAGCTTTCAGTGGCCGGAGCTGCTCTGGTAAAATGTCGGCCTCTATACGACGATCGGTCAATATATAATTTAGAGGTAGAGGCACTTCTAAAATTGCTGGCCGTAGCACATCCACCAAACAAAACTTTCTAAAAAGGAACAAGAGTAAGTGCAAAAATAATTCTAAGATATTCTACTAATAAGATTGTTTCCACCATAGAAAAGTCATTAGACAGTGAGTATATACCTCTGCTCAAATCACTGTCCCCACACCCACTTTAAAAGGAAGTTTGGGCATGTTAGTTGCTAAGCTGCTTATTCACAATTTCCCATGTCAAGTGTGACACACATATACACATGCTACAGTGAAACTAATCTTAGGAGCAACCCAAGGGGAGCAACCTCAGGGCATAAAAATTAAATTTAGTGCTTACATCTTATGTGTATCTTGCACACAGAACTCAAACTTGTTAAGTATTTCCTTCTTTTTGCTCTCCAGCTTTTTCAAATCCTTTTTCAAAGAACAGATCTCATTGCTCACATTATAAAGCTGATTGATCAACCATAATGAATACGTAGTGTTATCACAAGATAAAAAGGCTTTCTCTTGCTTCTCAAGTTCCTCAATTAACAGCTTTTGGTTGTTTACTTCTTGACAAATGGTAGTTAATGGAAATGAAGACAGTCGCATCTGTGTGAGAAAAAAGAGTGTTATATTGCACTATTACATACTCTGTGTGTTGTTCAGTTCATGTTATAGTGCAACTTACATGCACTATAGCACATACTTTATGTGTTCCTTATATAATAACAAAGTCAAGAAAGGTATTGATAACATAACTACACCTAAAAAATCTTTACAGTATAGCTTTCATTGTAAATTATCCAAAACTTATAAGTAAACAACAATTGCTCTGAGAAATATCATTGCTTGATTACAATTGATGCATGAAATTGAAACTCAGTTATACACTTTACCTTTTTATCTCCTCCATTATGATATTCCTTGAACCATGCTGTACGAGTGCCAACCATGCTTGCTAACATTGGTAGCTTTTGCTGCCTTGCAGAAGATAAGCATACATTTTTGGCCAGGGCAGGTAGCATCATGTTTTGCTGAATAATAAGCTGAAGTTGATTCTAAAATAACAAAATAATGTCAAATAAAATTTATAATATTCTACTGCATAGTATAGATCTAATGACCAACAGAAACACATTAACTTGACTGCAATACATATTTAACAAGGCCCTGGTGGATTATAACAGCATAATAGGGCCCAATACATAAAAAAGATATATATACAGTGAAACCTGCTTAATCCGGTCACTCTTGGGCCAGTTTTAAATGGCCTGATTATGCAGGTGGCTGCATTACAGATCAGCCTCTGTAATATAGCCATTTGTACGGGATTTTGGCTTATGGCTGTAATAGAGAGGTGGCCTCATTATTCAGGTGACCTTTAGGACAGGTTTCACTGTATAATATTTAAAATCAATTGAACTTTGTTGACAGAATGACAACCCAAGCGTGGCGAGTCCAATGAACATACAATTATTTGTAATAAAAAATAATAATAAATCTACAAAATTATCATAGTATAGTAGATTTGTTTAAAACAAATACATAAACATTGTAGATCTACTTACTTACCAGTAGATACTGCTACTTGAAATAGATCTAAGTTGGATTTAGTAAGATTAGACTACTACAACAGGCACTGTCAGGTCAGGCAGCTCCAGAAAATCAAGTTGCTCTACTTCTTTTGGCCTTGTTGTGGAGTCCAGTGAGAACTGTTATAACAGCGAGAGGTTACAGGTAGACCATGTGGTTGAATAAGTTAATATTCATGGTGTGTTTGTGCATTATACTCTATGGGCGTTCACCAGACTACTCCACCTCTAATTGTGTGTGTGTGCAGAGTATCCTTTCTTCATTCTGAC